AGAGGTAAATACTTATTTAATATATTTCTAAAGAGTATTTATCAAGAATAGTTATCAAATACATTTATTTCATGTATTTACTTTTCCATATTTTATAAAATCACCTTCATTTTTAATTTTATATTGGATCCAGTGAGGTTTAATCATTTAAAAATTAGCTGTTAAAAAATAACTTCTTAAAGTATGTTTATAAACAGAGAGCTGTTCACATTTTAACCTTTTAATTTTACTGGCTTCTCTTCTTTTGCTCGTGTGATGAATGCAGCTGAATACCAATGGCTCAGAAACATTAGCAGTAATAACAGAGGAAGTTTATAGTGATGAAGAGGCCACCCCTCCTGTCCTTGGCCCAAGACCAGATCATACAAAATCAGTGAGTGATTGACTAATGACCCATGTGCTTATCTGTGCATGTGTGTTTCTGAAAACAGATGTTTGCTTTTGACTTTCAGTGGTAATTTCAAATAGCCTTCAAATTTAAAATATTTTAGTATGAAAAAATTAATTCAAAATGAAATTAAGATTTTTACCTAAAGAGGACTCATCAAAAACTTACTCTTTTCAAAAATAAAAATCTAATGGTCTCTTTAAAAGTTAGAATACTTACTAGGTTTTTGCTTTCTATATTTTTCCCTCTTTTCCAGAAAAGTGATCTCTTTCTCTGGTTTTTCTGTTTCATAATGTGGATAACTATTATACCTACAACTTGGATCTTTCCTCTTGTCCAGATTACATATTTTATTTCTCATTTCCACATGTCTCTGAAAGCCTTGATGTCATTCAAAAGACAGATGAGCATGAAATTTCTCACCAGCTAAAGAGAATTTTGATAGTAATGACCTCAGATGGAGCCAGGAAGGAAGAACTACTAAAGAAACTTGCAGGGGACTGTGATGTGGTGGCACACAGTGCATTGCACGGGCAGAGCTTTGAGGACTGCCATGGGATCCTCATCTCATGATGGATGGCTATGTTTTTTTTTTCATTCCTTACAATTGGCTTGTTTAGGTGAAAGGGAAGGTAGGCATTATATTTGTGTAAAATGTTTTGTGAAAATTAGTAACAGTTATCTCAACATTAAGGTTTCTCATTTTTGCATTTCATCTTTTTGTATTAAAAACATTATTTTTGAAGTGAGCTACTGATTTACTATGTTGTTATACTGTTTTTTAAAATTTTCTTACATTTTAAAAATGTTTTTAGTTGTAGATGGACGCAATTATTTTACCTATTTATTTGTTCTGTGGTGATGAGGATCAACCTAGTACCTCACACATGGTAGGCAAGCACTCTACCCTGTTATACTATTTTGGATCTGGGAACACATAAATTTTATTTATGGGCCTGTGATTTTGGCAGTTAAACTTTTCTTTCTTTCTTTTTTTTCTTTTTTTTAATTTTTTAGCATTGTGGATTGAAGCCATGGGCACTTAACCACTGAGCCACATTCTTAGCTCCCCCCAACCCCTGCCCTTTTTTTTTTTTAATTTTCAGACAAGACCTCACTAAATTGCTTAGGGCCTCATTCAAAGCCACTGAGGCTGGCTTTGAACTTGGAATTCTCCTATCTCACTCTCTCAAGCCACTGGGATTACAGGCACACACCACTGCATGCAGCTGCTGGTTACACTTTTAAATTCATTCATGTTATGGTAAAAAAAAAAAAAAAAAAGCAGGCTTCAGGGTGAATTTG